TTCCAATGCTGGGGCACGAATTTAGCAAAGGCTACCTGGCTGGTTGACACAAGAGGATCTGCCAATTGAGCTGGCCTCGCCCAGTCAGAACTCCCACATGCTGTAGAAGGGGATATAGTTCCTGGAGCACACCTGAGGAACATATTGGGGAAGATGGTCTGGGTGAGCTGTGTTTCTGGGAAAGGCAAACCCATCCACGGGGTTGCTTTTGCTCAAGAATCTGGGTGTCCCTGGTGGGTGTTGCAGAGGAGAATACCGATGTGTGCTGCAAGGGGTCTTAATTTTGTCTGGGAAAAGCCAGTTAATTCAATTGTATGTTGCTAATTGTTAAGCAGCTGCTGCATGCATGATGTAGATGGTATCGAATAAGGAGTGGATAATGTCCTGGTTTGGCTAGGATAGGGTTAATTTTCACCAGAAGTTGGGACAGTGTATCACTTGGGACAGACAACCCAACCAGCTGATAGGTTGTTCAGTACCATCCTGACATGTCTTCAGCAGAGTGGCCTAGGTATGGGTTTCAGGAGAGGGTCCAGCAGTTGTGGGCAGGGTTGCACCACCAGTTCCACTGGAAACTGTCGTGATCTCTTTCTTTGTGTCACTTGCTATATAGGTATTTTTCTTTCACTGTCGTTTACTGCTCCTTTTGTGGTGTTGTGTTAAATTCTCCCTATCTCGGCCCATGGGGTTTTGTATCTTTCTCCCTTTTCTCCTTCCAGTTCCAAGGAGTGCGGGGGTAAGTGAGCAGCCGTGTGGTGCTTGGCTCTTGGATGGGTCTAAACCATGACACAGGGTATGCATCTGCAGTAATTACTTCAGTTATAGCCAAGTTCAAGACAAGGGTGACTTAGCTGGTTGACTCTGACAAGTACTTGAGGAGTAGAAAAAAACCTTTCTGCCTTGCTACCAAGACTTGTAACTTTTCGTTAACTAAAAGTGTTAGGTTTTGGTGATGATTTTAGTGGAAGTGAAGTGTTAGCATGTGCTGTGGAATGCATAAAATAATAATGCGTTTATGCTTTAAAAGTTGATGAGGTAAAGGAGATGGCTTGGCTTTTTAAAAATATAAGTGGTTTTGGAATGGCTTTGCTTTTTCTGCAGTAATTCACTGCAGAGGCCTTGAGTTGTGCAGATTTTTTGCATTGAGTGCATGGTCAGTATGTGGTTGATGGATCACTGAGAATTCTGAGGATGCGGCAGGAAGTTTTTCTGTGATTTAGTAGATGGGCTTATGTAAGGGCTAAGAAGTAACCCTAAGTCATGGCTCTTGTTTTTCAAAATCCCACAGCTTCTCCTTGGAAGTCTTGGCCAGTTTTCAGAATTGTGTTGTGTCTTTCTGAAGTTTCCCTGCCTTATCCTTTAGAAAAAAACCCCAAACATTCATCCACAGAATCCTATGGAAACCCTGACACAAGAGAAGCTCGTACAGGCACCAAGGAAAGCCTGGCTGAAATGTTTATCTTGCAGTACTGTTGTTGCAGGCACTCCTCAAAAGGTTCCTAAGAGGCTGAAATGTTATAGACTCAGCTGCAACCTAGCACATACATTACTGCAGCTGAGGACACCAGCTCCAGCTAGGTGTGTTCTTCTTAAGGACTAATTGGAAATCCATATTGTCAGTACATTTAATGACGTTTTAAAAGGTAGTGGAGGGGATGTGAGGCTTAGTAGTAATTGCATGTAAATCATAAACCTCCGGCATACCTTCCCCAAAGGGAAAATGATACTTATCTGCATTTCTGTTCCTGCCTGTCAGCTGGTTTCTTTCTTCCCCCTTGGTTTTATCTTCCTGTCATTACCTTTTTTTTTTCTAAGGAGTTCTGAACACTGGACATCAGGGAGCACACTGAAAATGCAATTTCCTTCCCTGTTTCCGGGGCCTTGTGCTGCAGGGTCAGGATGATAAGCTAAGGAGGTTTTCAGGGAGAGTTCAGCTTGGCCTTTCCAGCTCTATGCTGGAGCTTGCCCAGGGTAAACAGGATCCTCAGAAGTTTAGCTGCCAGACTCTGATAAACTTCTGCTAAGCATAATGTAACAGTGATAACTTTTCCCCAGAGGCCTTAAAAACTCCAGATTTGGTGGCTAAGCAGGTAGAAAGCAACTACTTAACTACATCTTGAGAAGTTTCCTGCCTTTTCTCCTGCCAAATTTCATATCCTTGCTCCAGCTTGCGGAAGGTTCTAGAAATGTTGGAGTTTTTTTTGGCAAGGTGTGTTTTTGTGGTGGTTTCTTTCCCCTACCTTTTGCAAAAATATCACTACTTCTTCTTCCCTCCTCCTCCCCCCATTAGAAGCAGCTAAACCTTAAGGGCAGCTGACATATTTTTACTAAAATGCTCTGAACCAAAGGCTTGACTGGAAAAATTTTCAACATGAGTGATTAAACTCGGCGAGGCTATAACTACCTAATATTTTCTGGTCTGTGCTGCTGTTTGCATTTAACCTTAACTGTAAAGGCAATGAGTATGGTCTATGAAATCTAATCAGTAAGTTTTGAGGTAACGTATGGTGAAGTACTAAATATTTGATGGTTCCCTGCACCTCACTGCAGTTTCTAAGGAAGCAATTCAGAATAGTTTTGCTAAACACATCAGCTTGCCTAGAAGTTGAACAACTGCTTCAGAAGCATGCTTGCATTACAGGAGTACCTATTTCTGATGCTGATGGCTTGCTTGCTGGATTGTAATGCACAACAGATGAAAAATAATTTTATTATTTTTCAGTTATTGTGCTTCTCCTTTCTGATTCTACAGAAAAATTTGCAGTTACTAGATCTTCCGTGAATCACGCTAAGCAGAAATCATGAGTGTGCTGACTCATGGTTTCCTCACATTGCCCTTTGCTACCAGCCAGGAAATAGATGTTTCTTCACAGTGCTTGTGTGTGGTGTCTGAGGGAAGGGGGTTTAGTGACTCTGCATGAGTCAGGCAACAGACTTGAGTTTATCCAGTGAGTGCTCAGCAGTCTTGCTGATCACAGTACTTCTTGCTTTTTTGGCTTTCCCTCCAGTGTGGAATTTCATTTTCTAAATCCTCCAAAAGGATCCTTTTTAGGATCCTCCAAAAGATTTTTTGTTTTGCTTTGGCTTTATTTTTATTTTCATACCTGGATGTCTTTTGCCCTTAGAAAGTTCTGCTAACATTTTACCACTGGTAGCAAATCTTAGTTTATATGGGTTTCTGGAGTTTGAACGGATTTGAAATGTGGAGGGTAACACCACATTGCTGGCAGCAAAACTAAGGCTGGCTTATGTTAAACTTGTGGATAGGTTTTGCTTTCTTTAGATTTTGCAAGAATGGGCTGTTGCTAATAGCATTTTGCCCCCAAAAGGTGGATTGCAGATGTGTGGGTGTTTTTCTATAGAAGATAAGATGTGAAAAGGCTGTTTTGACTCCTGCTCACAATTGGGCTTCTATCCTGTGTATTTTGGCATCTTTTTGGTTGTCTTTTGCTTAAGAAAAATATTTTCTGTCTGACTTTTCCTTGGATTTTCTTACCGAAGAATATACTTTACATTTCTGGTTTTGTAGTATGTCTGTTGCCACTGCACTACTCAACTGCTTAATATGCTAAAGATGTGGATGTTGTAAATGCTACATTACTGTAACTTCATCTGAAATCATACAACCATGTTACTTCTTGCTCCTTCCTTTTTTGTCTTCGTAGTGTGGTGTTATTGCCTGTGTAGTGCCAGACCTTCAGCAGGGTTGCATTGAGGACTGCATGTGTTTATGCTCTTGTGTGGTTTGTAGCCTGATAGTTAAGCTGACTTCCCAGGGACTACAAACCATGAGTTCAGACTCAAATGTCTTGTCTCCCAGGAAACTGCTCTAACCAGTAAGATACTATACTAATCATATTAAGGATATCTTATCCCACTTTATACCTCACCCACAAGCCTACAATGAAAGAGTGATTTGGATGCTTAAAAGCTAGAAGACATCAGCCTTTCTCGCTTGGAACAGGGAGAGACATTGAGGGAGGAAAGATATTTAGGTGACTTCCAACTGTGTTAATTAGCCCAGGTACCTGACCTAGGACATCCAGTGCTCAGTGTGACTGCTGGGGATCCGAGTATTTCCCACTGACCTCTCCTCATCTACTGCAGGTGGCGTGGAAAATCTAAAAAAAATCAGGGTTCAAAGGTGCTCCAATCAGATGTGGTTCAAAGCATGGCCAGTGGGTCGAGGGAGGTGATTCTTCCCCTCTACTCTGCTCTCATGAGACCCCACCAGAGTACTGCCTCGAGCTCTGGAGTACCCAGGACAAGAAGGCCATGGACCTATTGGAGTGGGTCCAGAGGAGGGCCGTGAAGATGATCAGAGGGCTGGAACACCTCTCCTGTGAGAACAGGCTGAGAGAGTTTATGTTGTTTCTGGAGGGACCTTATTTTGGCCTTCTGGTATCTGAAGGGGGCCTACAAGAAAGCTGAGGAAGGAGTTTTACAAACTTGTAGTGATAGGATGAGGGGCAGTGGCTTCAAACTGGAAGAGGGTAGATTTAGAGTAGATGTAAGGCAGAAGTTCTTCTCTAATGATGGTGGTGAGACACTGTGTCAAGTTGCCCAGGCAAGCTGTGGATGTTCCATCACTAGATGTGTTCAAGAGAAGGTTGGATGGAGCCTTGGTGTAGTGGAAGATGTCCCTGCCCATCGCAGGTGGTTTGGAACTAGATGATCTTTAAGCTCCCTTCCAACCCAAACCACTGTATGATTCTGTGATCTATTGTCAACAATACTTCATGACAGTCCAGTCTGCCATCATCTAGTTTAATTCGGTGTAAGAATGCCTTGCCACCCTTGAGAGTTTAGCCACCTTTCTGGTCCCTTTTTTGGCTGTTCAAATACAAACAAGTAGCATCAGTGGCTGCAGTACTGCAACCACCAAAGGAGGTGGGAATCTTCTGTGGGTGAGTGTACCTTGCTTATGTTCATCCTAATGCTGCTTTGACTGATGTGTTTGAGCTTGCTTTTTAACAGCTGAATTTCACATCTGATTGCAGAGAATTGTCCAGATCAGAATCCTCGTCTTAAAAACTGGAGCCCTGGAAAAGATCCTGAAAAGAGAGTTTTTATCAGAAAGGGAGATCTGTTTCGCCTGAACTCAGATGCTACAGTACACTCTATAGTTATACAGGATGGAGGTATGAGATGGCAAGATGACCATGCTTCAGTTTATGGCTTAGTTTTTACTTCTGTGATTACATGAAAAATGTGTTGGAACTTTTTGTTGCAGCTTATTGGCCGGTTCCTCTGCTTTTACTATTCAACCTGCTACCATGCCAGGAATATCATTAAAAAAATGAGTGAACTCTGCAGAATCTTTTAAGTGCAGCATTGATGTGGTTTTCTGTAAGATACAGTAAAACAAGACTTGTGTAGCCTTCCTTGTACAAGATCTTCTTGTGTTCTGATGGTGACTGTGGTATGTGAGTAAGTCTGTCAAAATGGCAAAAAAATTAAGAATAAACCAACCAAATTCCTAGAAAGATAAATCACTATTGGTAGGAATTACTTCCCCAAATATTTTTAAACATATATAAGAGCATAACAGGTTAATTCAAGGATGTGGAAAATAAATCTGTAATTTTTTCGGTTGATCTTACTGCAGAACTTGGTTCTTTGAGCCTATCTGAATTTTCCTTTGACCTACTGAATTTTATTTATTTTTTTTTTCCTTTAGGGTTACTTGTTTTTGGTGATGATAAAGAAGGTTCTAAAAATATTACCTTGAGAACTCGATTTATCCTGGTAAAGGATGGTGGAATGCTTCATGTTGGAGCAGAGAAATGCCGATATAAATCCAAAGCAACTATTATTTTGTATGGGAAGTCAAATGAAGGTGCTGATGTGCCAGAATTTGGCAAAAAATTTATTGGTGTGGGCCCTGAAGGAACACTAGAGTTGCATGGGCACCAGAAGTTATCATGGACTCTCCTGTCAAAGACTGTGTATTTCTCAGGGCTGGCCTATGGTCCTTATGCTTTCAAAAAGAATTTTTCCCGAGGACTAAATGTGAGAGTGATTGATCAGGACACAGCAGAGGTTCTGGAAGTGCTGAAGTTTGATACTCATGAATTTTCAGAAGAAAGCTTGAAGCTCCAGAACTTACTGAAAAATGGAAGTCTTGGTCGCATTATTGCTATTGCTGTAGGAGATTCAGCTGCTAAAAATCTACTGGATGAAACCAGGCTGACTATTCAAAATCTTCTGGGAAGTAAGTTTGTCAGAGGATTGAGTTACAGGTAAATAATTTATTTTCCCTTTTACACCGAGTAAATATTAGATTCAGATTGTGCTGCCTTTGGGGGATTAGTTAAACTTTGGCAGTGTCTGTTCTAAAAGTCTTCAGGGGATTCTGGGTGTTGTACATACTACTGCAGTAGGAGTATTCAGTGTGCGGTGTTTTGATACTGCAGAGACTGATAGTAACAAATACTGCTGTGATAGACAAACACAGTAAGTAATATCTCTTTTCACTGTTGGTGACAGAGGTTAAAACTGGGTGTGGCAAGGAAATTTTTCTTGTTCAAACACAAAGAAACCAGTTGATAGGTGAAGTTTTATGTCTGAAGGAGCAAGGAATACTTAGCTAGAAACTGAATACATGGAAGGGTTGGTAATCCTGTGTACCAAACAGTGTCATATACCTCCTGCCTGTGCACTGTTGTGTTGAAAATACCCTCCACTGATTCTGCAAGGGAACTGATCTGTAATTCTGTTATTGAAATGCACAGGTAAGGTGTTTCTGTATCTTTTGACCATTTTTTTTAAGTTGATCAGGGTTTGTTTAGTCAAACAGTAGAAGAAGTATAATGGAAATAAGTAAAGCGGGAAACTTTATCTGCTGTGCCGTTCATTTAGTTGTTGCAAATTACTTTTTGCAGAGCACATTCTGAACACATCTTTAGTGCTGCACAGGGTTAGTAATACAAGTGAAAGGGTCACTAAGTCTAACTGTTCTTCTTTAGCTTGTGTTAAGATCATGTTGTATAACCTGTGTACATTTTCCAGGAAGTCAGTCACTTAGTTTTTCCGTTCTGTTCTTACCCCTCACTACCCCTCAACATCTGGATTCCCCTCAGTTTCCTCCCTCTGCTTTGGCAGAGGCAGGCTGGGGCATCAGTCCGGATGGCATGTTCTGACCCCCGTTCCTGTCAGGAGCACGTTTGTGTCAGTGGCTGTGTGAGCCTGTGGTCATGGGATGGGAAGTGTGTGCAGCACTGCCTCTGAAGCAGTTTCGTCAAAGATTCTGAGACCTGGATGTCCTATAAAAGGACCCCACCTGAAAGCAGTGAGGCACACATGGCAGTTGTTCACGTCGCTGTGCAGCCACCGCAGCCTGGCCTGGAGGTGTGACTTCCTTCTGTTGTCTTTGCACAGGACCTTCATGCTAGTTTGTCTGAAATGAGGAACTTCTCCAGCCTGTGGCTGAGAAGAAACAAACTACCTTCTTTCTCTACTGAACTGATTCTTGTCTGTTCTTATTAGTCATTAGAAGCTCTGTAAGCACAAAAAATTACCTTGTTCTGCTGTGAAAGATGGGCAGGAAGCTCTCCCTGAGGAAAAGCAGGGTCATTTTGTTAAACATGTAAAGCTAGTAAAGAAGATTTCGTCTTGGAGGTGTATACTCCATTACATTCCTCTCCCCTTCTGCCTCTTTCTGCAAGAGCATGCATTAAAATACCTTGATACTTATTTTAAATGTTAGTATGTGAAAAATTCAGCACGTTTGCTGCTGCTACTGAAAAGCTGGCCCAGTATGCCCTACTCCTATGAACAGGTTAACACTGAAGAGTTTCATTTAGCCTTTTAATCCCAATCAGTATAAACATCATGGGGGGACTGAAATAAAGGCACCTGAACTGAAAGTGGTTTTAATATCTGCTTTTGACTCAATCATTAGCAACAGACTACTGTTGCTATCTGAGAGTCCAGCTAGGTACCACTGTTTTCATTTGGGGTGAACGATTCAACTTTAATGATGCAAAGTTGTTCAGCTTTTTAATAGATGATCTCAACTGCATCCTCTGCACATGTAATTACAGCATTCGAGAATAGTAAAGTAGAGCAAAATAGCCTTTTTATTTTAGTGTGTTGGCAGCTTTCTGTGGTGTGTGGTTTGTTTTTCATTTCCAAAAACTTGGATGCATTGAGCAGAGCTGTAGGACGGGGAAACACGTCCAGGATAGTTCCCTGCTCCATGCTGGTGCTCAGCCAAGTAGGTGTCCAGCTGAGGGAAGAACTGGTGAGAAGGAAAAGCAAAAGTCTTTGGTCTCATCCTTCAGAAACATTGGTGATTTCACTCAACAAATGTTGTGTAACTGTATGCAGTTCCTTTTCTGGGTCTGAGTATTTTGAAAGATTCAGAAGGTATTGCCCATCCCCTAGAGTGATGGCCAGTGGCTGCTGCTGGCTGTCTTGCTCCCCCCTGACTTGACGGACACATGGTCCCAAGGGACCCCTGGCCACTGACGGCAGCAGGCTGCGGCAACAACGTCAGCGCTGGCTCCTGGTCTTCCTGTGCTCCAGCAAAGCTGTTTGGGAGTAGAATCCTGTACCACTTCTATTGCTCATCTCTTGTGATTGGCTTTTGGACAAAGTGCATCTTGTTGGATGTTGTGCTAAAAAGGTATCTGAAAGTCTTAAGAGCTCTAGTATGTGCCGATTAGTATCTAGGACACCCAGTTATCATAAACTATGTTTCTTCTCAATGAGATCTGCCCATTTTTCTTCTGTATCTTGAAGTTACATTTCAAAATTAATTTGGAAGAGCAGGCAAAGGATTATTTATGACTTCCTTCCTCCATGTCATGTACTTTACCTGTTTGTGAAGAACTTGTTAAGGACCATTATATTTAAACATTTACTTTTGTTTTTCACAGGCAAGCCTGGGCTTTGGTTGGTGTCATAGGTGGTGGAAATTCTTCCTGTAATGAATCAGTGAGAAACTATGAAAATCACAGCACTGGTGGGAAAGCTCTTGCTCAGAAAGAGTTTTTCACAGTGGATGGTCAGAAGTTTGTTGTGAGAGCTTATAGCGAATGGAACGATGGTAGGAATGCATTTTGTGAAATCCTGCAGTTCAGGAAGAAGTAAACAATACTGTCTGTGCTTTTTTCACTAGAACTGTTGGCTGCAATTTAAGTTTTTTTGTTCTGTTGGGTTTTTTCTTGCTATGAAGTATGATCATGTAGTTTTTCAGTACAACCTGTTTTCTTAAGCTGTTCCCATACTGCATACAAATAGACTAGCATAAGAGTCTTCATTTTAAATAATTTAGATAGAGATAAGGGGTCTTATTAAAGGCTGAAACAACTTTTTTTTTTCTTTTAGTAATTTGTCAGGCACATGTATTTTAAATCTAACCTTCTGCAATGGTGATGATGATCCTAAAAAAAAACTTGGTAGATAGAGTCCAAGAGAAATGTTTTGTTCTTGTTAGAATCTTCTGTTGCTGTTTGATGCTGAGCTTTAGGCAGCTTTTCTCATACCAAGTTGAATATGTGGTAAAAAGAGCCCAGAAGGCTTACCACTCATATGCTTTTATCCTTTATTCATCTTTGTATTTAAGATACGTTTGATCTGAGATTTGTTTTTTATGAGCAGTCATCTTCTTGTGTTTGTGGAATTACTAAGCAGTATTATCTTTGCCTCAGAAATTTTTTAAGGTAGTCAGATATTTAATAAAGTAATTGAGCTATTTGTTACTACTTCTTCACTGTTCATTACAGCCCTATGAAAATGCATAGAGTCATATTAAAAAAAAAAATCCATCTAAATACATCTTTTACTTACTGGTACTGTTGAGTTAGGGTCCAGAGTAAGTAAGTGTTGCTGAACTTAAGCAAATATATATCACAAAGCACTGAATTAGCATGTGTGTTTAATTTAACCTGCTAAAGTTTTATTAGTTGTGAATAAAAAGGAAAGTCTCCTTTCTTTGTTTTGCCAGGTCCGTGATTACATCTGTAGAGTTTTAAATGGCAGAAAAATGTCACTTGAAACAAGTAGAGGTAGCTGGACCTACAGTTCATTGTCACATGTATTAGGATTTGTTAATTTTTTTTTTTAAAAATCATAGATTTTCTTTTTCCAGCCACTATTAGTTCCCTCTTTCCCATTTGCTTTATTTGAGATCCACCAAATAAGCAGGTTGTAATGGCATGTTTCAGAGCAGAACTGCACTTTACAGGGCTTTGAAGCTTCTGAAATTTCACACATTTCTTACTAGTATCTTCTTGGAGATGGTTTCATATAATGGGAAATATAATCTTATATTGTGTTTAATTATGGTTTCGTTTTTTATTTAATTAGGTGTCCCAATTTCAGGCTTCCAGGTGGAAGCTGTAGGTGGAGTGATACTGAATCTTCTGGATGATGCTAGTAGTTGGGAGCCTGGAGACCGGATTGTGGTTGCAAGCACAGACTATTCAATGTATCAAACAGAGGAATTCACCCTCCTTCCCTGCCCAGAGTGTACCAAGCATCAGGTCAAAGTCAAAGGTAGGAGAGCAGTCACCACTTGAAGCTTAGTGTGAAATACATATTTGTGATACTATACATAGTAGTGTTCAGTGGGAGCAGTGGAGAGAACAGCCTGTTCACCTATCCCTGTCTTCGTTCGTTGACGTTATACAGGAATATGTGCTTCTCATTGCTATAAAGTTGCTCTGTATAATATCAGGTTAGCTTACTATACTAACTTTTCTTTCTCCTTTCTTCCTAGGTTCATTGAATGTTTTAATTTTCTTCCAAGAGGATTATGCTTGTTTTCCTTCCTTGGCTCCTTTCTGTTTTTCACTAGTTCTTTTTATACATCCTTGAGTGGTTGTTGAAGTCACTGCCATTTCCTTTGTCTTTAGTGCCCTTCCCACCTTTTGAAGGGTTATTTTTTTCTTGTTGTTAAAAAAGGAGAAAAGAGGGGGGAAAAAAAAGGGGGTGTGTGTGAAAATGGTAATCTTTGAACCTGTCTTTTTTCTCCATTTTCCTTAGTTCCCCCCTCCCCCACCCTTACCAGTAAAATGGTTATGAAATAAATGACACTCCAAGCCTCTGCTTACACAGGATATCCCTGAGTAGTTGCAGTATGTTTTTCCCTTGGGCATGATGCATGCAAAATGGTCATGCATGTTGTTATCAGTTTCCTTTTTCATTAACTGAGTCATTCTACTTGACTTCACAAGAGCCTCCTGTGGGACTGGCTCCTTGGCTCTGCTGGCATCTATTTTCCCTCTGTCGCTTAGTGCCTCTCCAAGCCAGTGCTCTCTTCCTCAGTGGTCCAGCAGCCTCAGGTCTTGAGCTGCCCCTCTTGCTCCCTTCTGGTGGGCTCCCACATCAGTTTGCAGCACAAAATAACTAGTGTTATTTTGCACAGTTAGTTTCAGCAGCCCATCACTGCTCTTCAGGGTCTGGTTTTGTCCCTTTCACCTCTGTATGGTGCAGCTTCCTCTTCAGAAGACTCTTCTCTTTCTCCATTCTGAGAAGTTTTCTGTCAGTGGCCTCAAACTCTCCTCTTGCCCCTGTGTCTTAAGGGGCTGTCAGTTTGAATGCCCACTTCACAGTGCAGTTTGCATCCCACAGCATTAGTTAGCATGGGTCATATACATTTTACTCTGTTGTGAAGACAGAGATAGGAGAAAATCCTACCTCAGTTCACCTTATCACACCTCAAGAGAATATATGAGTTTGTGAGAAGCCACGGAGCTGACTTAGAGCATGAAATTTTCTGGCCTTTGTTCTTGAGTGTCTCACATTTTGTTTGTAATTGAGCACAATATTTTAGATAGCAAACTTAACTTGAAGGTTGCAGTATGAAGTTTAAGACAGTTTTTGTCATAACTGAATAGTGTGTATGCAAACTCTGTTTCATCTCAAAAATCATGTACTGTGAAAGAGCAGTAACTTCTGAGGGATTTTAAAAAAAATTATATGGCATAAAATACAAAATCTTGGCTTTTTTTAAGAATGCTGTATGATTAATGATTGGACTGGATGATCTTAAAGGTCTCTTCCAACCTAAATGATTCTATGATTCTATGAACCCATACAAATAATCTTTAAAACGAGGTGATCTGGGCCATCTTGGGTATTTTTCACCTCCAGTGTAAAGTTTCCTTTTACATGGCAACGGATACTGTTTAAAAAGTCCCCAAACCACCCTGTGTACATGTTCCACAAAGAATGTGTTTTCTGTGGAATGGCAAACTTGAAATACTGAAGAACTTTCCATCTTTTGAAATGACTCTTTGAATTTTTTCAAAGTTTTTAGATATTTTGGCCCCTTCATAGTAAAAGTATTGTTTTGTAGGAGGTTTAGTTACTCTTTCTTAGCTTGATTTATGTATGCTAGTCAAGTATAGGGAATAGGTAAGCCTTGAAAGAGATGAATGCAGTCCCATCTACAGACATCTATTGTGTTTTTAAATCCTTTACAGCAGGTATAGCATTAATACCACTCTTGGTTCCACTTCATATTGCGGTCATGACCTGTTTACGCTTCATTTAAGCTCTGAGGGGATAGTGACAGTCTGTATTCAGGGAATCAATAAATGGAAATAAAAACCCACGGGGAAAAATCTTTTAAAAAAAATAATTGCATAAATAGATTTTTAAGGTTTACAGGACCAGATACTTCTCTCAGTTTGTATAGAAAAATAAGAAATTGATTGGTTTTTTTTCTTTAAAGAATACTGTAAAACTAGAGTATGGTGTTTTCCCTAATTATAGTTTGTGTCCTCAGAGTAGCTGTCTAGGAATGAGTAAATTTCATTAGGAAAGCAAATCTTTCTTTATTCCAGAGGGTGATGAATACAGTAATTTCTAAAGGTGTTTTGGCCTAATTTTCAGTTCTTCATTTTTAGGAACAGATGAAGCACCCAGCATCTTTTCTTTTAAAGTAAATATGCATCGTTGTTTATTAAATGCTTTCTAGATACATGGGATTAATTTCAACTTCTATTTTTTTATCCATTCTGTTCAAAAACTACTGTTGAACTGAAATTAAGATGCACTTGCAAATGAAATGTTGGGATTTGTTTAGGCTTACTTGTCTTAGACAAATGAAGAATACATAGACAGCATGTTGTTTTGGGAGGAAACATGGAGTAGCATACTTGATTCATCATCCTGCTAGATGCTCAACTATCACTGAGCCAGCTGCAGTCTGAAAGAGGGGAATTTGCTTCGTGTTATCTGGGTTAATGTTTATCGTCTAACAGTTTTGTACTTTTTGGGTGCCTTAGTGTAAGAAAAAGAAGAGAGCATATGAAAATATCAGAATGCATTGGGTTTGCTGCAGTTAACTTGCTTATATAAAATAAGTTTGGTTTTGTTTTTAATCAATGACAACTTTTTTTCTTTTCTTTCCCTTCAAAACTCTTTTTGGACAGAAAATCCTCAGTTTCCTCATATAGGAGAAATTATTGATGGAGTGGACATGAGGGCAGAAGTCGGAGTTCTTACAAGGAATATCTTGATCAAGGGGGAGACAGAGAATACCTGCTATCGTGAAAAGGACTGTCAATTCTTCAATTATGACACATTTGGTGGACATATCAAGGTCTGAAAGACATTTTAAAATAGCTTTCTGTCATTTAAAAGCATACTGAGGACAAAAAGTCTGATGCTAAACTTTGAGAGATTAACTTAAAGAACATAAATTCCTACAGCTGCTTTGAGTAGAAAGTACTTCATCTCAGCTTTCCCAAATTAGATTTAACTCATCTAGATGTAGTCTGTAGAATCGGAGGAAGGATGCACAAAATGTGGTAGAAATATACAGCATATATTGCAATGGTACATGGTAGGGATGAAACATTACAAGTGACGTCCATGCACATGCATCCAGAATAAGGTTTGGTCTCCCTTTTCTCTATCTTCCCTCCCTTCACTGCCTTTCTCCCTCACCTCGCAACTGATGAGCATTGAATCCCAGAGAACTGCCTTGTCTGGGCACTAGAAGGGCATGGAGAACAAAAAACCGTTGGAACCATGGTGATTTTATTTATTTTTTTAAAAGTTGGAAGTACTAAGTTTATGTGAAGGAAACAACTAATTTCTTGTATTACCATAAACATAAAGAGTCTGAGGGAAAGAAGTATTACAGAAACTAGTATTTAAACTCTAATTCACTTATGTTTTTAGATGAAAGGGTTGAGCAACAGTGTAATCACCTCTTCACTGATGCTGGAGAAGTTTGAGACCATGTATTTTAAATGCAAATGTATTTGTGCTCATTATGTGCTGGTCACAGTTTAAATCTCTTTCTAACATACATAGATGCAGATTTTAATTTTATAGTGGTGGGAAAGAAATTACAATCTTTCCCATTTGTTTTGTGGAAGAGAAGTAGGTGGGCTCAAGGCATTCTTTTGTGCTTAAAATAATGTAATGAAAGAAGATAATGGCAGGCTGTGAGTCCTCCAAAGCATGACCTTAATTTTCACAATAGCACAAATACAGCAGACCCCTCAAATGTCTGGAAGATAGAAGATAAAACAAACATTTTGAGTCATCAAAGTTGTTAAACTGTTCCCAGGAGACTGTTCAGAGTAGCTGAGTGTTGGCTGCCAAACCTAGACTTCAGCACTAAAAGCATTTTTAGTTTATGTTAATCTTACATGCTCAAACAGAGGGAGCTTAGGCACTAGCAAATGTTAATGGCCTTGGGGGTTTTGATCATCCTGGACTTTTTTCCTAGTCACTGGGACGGTAGCATAAACGAGGCTTAGTGGCAGTGAGGAGAGGCATTGATTTGTAGTTTCACAACTGCATTATTGCTTTTAAATGTTAAACAGGCAGAGATCTCAGGGATGCCTCGTTTTGACTGCCCATCTGTATTTGAGGCATAGAGACCTTAGGAGTGCAGTTAGAGGAGGGGAAAAATGTAATCTGTACTACTGATTTCCCTAGAGGACAAATTAGATATGAAAATGGTTAATTTTGATAAACACCCAGTACAGATAAGTTAATGAAATAACATACAAAATTTCTCAGCTCCCTGCAGTTCGTCTATTCCAGTTTGTTTCTGTTGCCATAGCAGGTTAAGTGGAAGAAGATACTTCTGCTTTCCTTTCCTCTGTTACTCATACAGCGCCATTATGCTTTTTCTTTTCTTTAGGTAATGGTACTGTGGACTTGTATGATTCTGAAGGCAATTTCATGTCTTTCTTAATAAATAAGTTCATCTGGAGTGTGGTGTCCGCTTTTAGATTTCCAGTGCAATAAAGATGTACATACACTGGGGTGTGTCCAGTGAAGATGGTGTGTAAGAGTACAAGGAGCTGAGAAAACAAACCTTGTTTGATGTGAGGAAGGCAGAAAGGAGGGATCTTGTTGCTATGTTCAGACAATGGAAGTGGCTTAGAGAGACCACAGGAGTTCTTGGAGCTGCATGCTAATTCTGCATAGAGATAAGGAAAACAAAAGGGAAGAAACAATTAACTTGTAGGAGCATCTCTGTGTCCAGACGTACTCCTTGAGCAATATGCTGACTTTAAGCTGACTCTGTGCTAAGCTGGTGATTGGACCAAGTATCTCAACGGGTTCCTTTGAATCTGTATTATTCTGTAATTTTGTTCAGCTAAGCCTGACACAGCTGGGCTATCTTGGTTGAGCTTCAGTATAGACAGGCCCTGATGTGGGTGAATTCTGTTTTTCTGGACAATACATGATTCTATGTAAAGAATATTTAACACACCAGCTGGTAAAGACCAAACAGTAAAGTGTTGCAACACACCTGGTGAAAATTGCTGGTTTAGCCATGTGGAGATTTAGCTTTTACACTTATTTATGAAGGATAATGTTTTGTAAGGCAGGATGTAGAGGAAGACATTAACAATAGTTACAACAGTTTGAGTTTGTCTGTGATAACTGTGTACGTCTAACACTCTACATCTGGTATATATCCTGTATTAACTTAAATTTTCATTGGTTAGAAAGCAAGTAATTGGTTATTCATTATGGACTACTCATTATATTTTTAGATTTTGAAGAATTTTACATCTGTGCATCTCTCCTATGTGGAATTGAAGCAAATGGGCCAGCAGCAGATTGGAAGTTACCCTGTTCACTTTCACCTGTGTGGGGATGTGGATGAAAAAGGAGGTTATCGTTTTAAGACTTACCTGGAAGGTCTTTCCATTCATCACTGTTTTTCCAGATGTGTGACTGTTCATGCAACTAATGGCTTGCTGGTAGGTACAAGGAGAGTAAAACACGCTGTGTTGAAATAAATGCTATAAAGAACATTTAGATCAAAAATAGTCCCCTCCCTTCTTCAAGTTTAATGCTTAGCAACATGGGCTTTAAAAAAAAAATATTGCAACAAATAAAGGAACAAGTGCAAACAGTGACTTACTTATAACAGATCTCATAGTCCATTTTTTTCAGATTCTTCCAGGCAGCTTAGTTTTCCAGACACAGTAATGTGTTTGTAAGGGATAAATGAAACTGTTTGCTTAGATCATTTGAACTGCTGATACTGAAGCTTCACTCTGCAGCTGGGGCAAGATAGTAAAACTAGATGGTACTTGTCAAATAAATCTGACGAAGTGTTATTGCTACTGACATAATGAACTTGTATTTCTGCAGATAAAGGACACCATTGGCTATGACACACTAGGTCACTGTTTCTTCACAGAAGATGGCATTGAGCAGAGGAATACTTTGTTCCACAATCTTGGGCTAGTCACAAAACCAGGCACTCTTCTTCCTACAGACAGAAACAGCAGTATGTGTACTGGTATTAGGGATAAAGTGTATGGAAGTTATGTCCCAGTGCCAGCCACAGACTGCATGTGAGTATTTCATGATGGAAAAAGTAAAACCAAACTAGCTACAGCAGTTAAATTGCTGATGATATTTTGACAATCTACGAATGGGAACGTTTTTGTATCATTTAATGAGAGAGTCCAGTGAAGGTCTATGAGGATGATTTGGGGACTGGAACGCCTGGCTTATGAGGAGAGGCTGACAGACCTGGGGCTTTTTAGTCTGGAGAAGAGAAGACTTAGGGGGAGTCTAATTAATCTGTATAAATATATGCAGGCTGGGTGTCGGAAAGGAAAGGGCAACCTCCTCTCAGTTGTGCCCTGCAATAGGACAAGGAGCAATGGGCACAAACTGGAGCACAGGAAGTTCCACCTCAACATGAGGAAGAACTTCTTCACTACAGTGGTTCTAGAGCACCGGAACAGGCTCCCCAGGGAGGTTGTGGAGTCTCCTTCCTTGGAGAGTTTTAAGACCCATCTGGATGCGTTCCTGTGTGACCTGCCCTAGATTAGATGGTCCTGCTCTGGCAGGGGGGGTTGGACTCGATGATCTCTGGAGGTCCCTTCCAACCCCTAACATTCTGTGATTCTGTAATGAATGCAGACACCTTATGTAGTTTGAATAGTAGTGGTATTTTTTTAAAAAAAATCATTTAGTCTTTTATTAATGAGAAAAAATAAGTTATTTCTACAAATATTGTTGTTCCTTGTGAGACTTGTTCAGTATACTCTTCAGGCTGCATCTTTAGTTTTGTGTAAAGGCATGCACATTCTCAACCATCACTGCTAGTTTTTCTGCATACAATTAAGCTCTTACAGCATCTTATTAAAACAGTTTATCATGACCTGGAGTATCTGAAAAACGTACAATGAATTACTATGCATTGAACTACAAAAAAAAGTATTTTTGACTTCAAAATGCAGGGAGTGTTTGATTTTTTCATATGTGAAGTCGTGACTTCAGACATCAGTTTAGCTGTTTCTGATGTGCGTGTTACAGAGGGCATATGTTTCTGTGGGAGCAAGAGTTTTTCCATAATAACTTCTTTCTGAATAATATTTCAGGGCAGTTTCAACATTCTGGATTTCTCATCCCAACAATCATCTTATAAATAATGCAGCAGCAGGTTCACAGGTGAGGCATATGGATGTAGTTCAACACAAAGTGCTCATGCCACTGGTGTTTGTAAAACCTGTAACATTTACACTGCCAAAAATACATACAATTTTTTTTTTTTTTTATTTTATAGATGGATAAGTTACTTTTATGTTTGGCAACATATTGCTGTCAGAAGTGCAGGTTTTGTTTAGGGGTGCCTTTAAGAGGTGCCAAAAATCTTTGTTCTGGCTGGAATATGGGAGTTCTTTTCCTCTTTTCAGTTAGTAGACCTAAGAATACTGTCAATACAAATAAACTATTTTGTTTCCAAAGAACTAGTGCATTTCTTATTAATGCTTCTGTATTTTCCTGTAGGTTGTCGTGAGCTTACTGTGTGACTGCTCTGCCAGATTTGTCTTCATAGCTGTGGTCATTGGAATGAAAAATGACTACAAAAAATGTTAATTGTCAGAGAAACAGCTAAAACACTTTTATTGTCAGTTGTTAGTCATTTGTTTCCCGTCATTGAGTGCTGATATGCTTTTACTTGTTCTGACCCTTGTATTAGTGCAGATCTGTCACAACTGTTTGCAAAGTAGCTGAAATACTGGGTGTGTGTTGTTGAGGAGGGGTCTGGAGTCTGTTCTGCACTGGATGAGAGGCAGAGGTGTTCATGGCTTTGAGGAGATTCTTCTGAAGAGACCAGTGGGAATGGAAAGCAGGAAAGAGCCTGTTGTTGTTGAGCCAGCAAAGGCTGCAGTGCTGAAAGCAGAATATGAGTGTGTCAGTGTATTCTTAGGTACAGAATACATAATAAACTGTTATTCTTAGAACAGGATTGAAAATACTTAAGTGAGTTTAAACACCTAGAGTATATAGATGGCCTGGCACTTTTGTTTTTTGGTTGGTTGGGGATTTTTTTTGGACAGGCTTTCTTGGTTGAATATCTACCACGAGGAAAGATCTGGACACACTGAATTGAACCAGTTCTTTTCCCAGTGCAGTGTATTTCCATTTTGTCTGCTTTATGCAATGTTCCTTTACTATGTTTTGGCATTGTAGACTGAGTTAGAGGAAGCAGGTTTCTTGGCTTAGTGCTTAAAACCTATGAGGTCTTTTTCTGCCTCTGTAGCGTATCCCAGTAAATGTCACTTCCTTTTGTTACCAGGATGTGTGTGGGCAGAGCAGGTATTTCTGTATCTTACAGTTTTGCCACTCCAATATACATCCCTTGCTTGCATATAAATACATTAGTATAAGGGATTACAGCTCATTGCATTTCAGAAACAAGCTCTTTATTGTAGGGGTTTTGCTGATATAAGCTATAGCAGTTCACAGGCAAGTAAAACAATTCCATTGCTTTTCCCCCCAGTTCCTTCATTATACACTGATGTCTATTGTGAGGGTGTATCAGCAATAGCTGTTTTTTTTGTTTGTTTGTTTGAGCTGTATATAGGGGGAATATAATTTTTCTGAATGCTTGCAAGTGATTGTGGAGCTTTTAAGTTTGCTAAACTTTTTTTCCAAGCATTGGGATGAGTTTTGGATAAAAATTACTTGAGTCTGCCAAGCACGGAGCTGTATTTAATTATATATGAAGTAAGATGTTGGTATTTTTATTAATGGAACATCCACATTTGCTCTGGAATTATTAATCACCAGAAATGTCCAAGTGTGTCATCATTACGGATGGGAATATGTTACTGAGAAGCAGAATTTTCAGGACTGTTTTGAAAATCGGTATATTTTCAGAGTGAAATTCATTAGATCATCTAAGACAGACTGAATTGGCTTTATCCCTGTTTCTTGAACAGGAAGATGATGACTATTTTTCAAGAGATTGAGCGCTCTGTATGCAGGGCTTCTTTAGCTACTCTTTAACCCTTTAATGTGCCTTGTTGCAAAGATTTTTTTTTTTTTTTTTTTTCTTTTACAAGGGCACAGAGCATGAGGTGAGGCAAAAATTTTCATATTTAAAGGTATCTGCTCTGCAGGTGCTGTGGGGATGCCACCTCTTGTGAAACCAGATGTGGCTGAAAGGGGAGCTTTTTTATAGGTCTCATTTAACAGATAACCAGCTTCTTTAAGGGCAGGGATGTTGAAGAAGTGGAGAAAATGAGCAGATGCTGATGCTGAAATTATTACTGCATGTTATTGGCACAGTGCTCTGAACTGGCCAGACCTCTTGATGTGCTTTTTTTCCTTCTGAAAGCTCTTGTGGTTTTTTTCGTTGTCATTAAATTCTGATGTAAGCAGAGATGAACAAACCTTAGTCAGAATGTAACAGTCAGGAGAGGAGGGGTATTGAGTATTTTACTGTAAATGGTATGATTTTCCTGGAAAATCCAGTGTGTGTGATGAAATTTAACTCAAATGCAAAAATTCAATTACCTGTGATACTTGACTGGTTTGAAATACTAGAGGATCTTAAATGTGGGATGTTACATGGCTTCACAGAGAAGCAGGACACTTGTTAGTGCACATTATTCACTAGACTATAGGCTTGGTTGCAAAGTCCTACTTTCTCATTTGTCAGTTGTTTGGATACTTTATTTTGAAAAATATATTTCATTGTGCACAGTTGATGTGGGCTCTGTTCCTATCTGCTTCCACACCTAAAATATCCAAGTTCAAGTTAGCATGCATATATTTTGTGATTAGATACATCAGCACTGACAGTAGTATCAGACTCATTTACAAGTAACATCATTCTCTTCTTACTTGCAGGATGCTGGAATATGGTATTTATTCCACAGGGTTGCAACAGGAGATTCTCATGGTTTGGGCATTGAAACTAAGTCAGAGCTTACACCCCTAGGCATATTCTATAACAACAGGGTTCATTCTAATTTTAAGGTACTGTATTAGTTAATTAAAAAAAACATTCTTTATTTGTTATTATTCTATATTGGAACTTGTCTGTTTACATTTTAAACTACTAAGGTGTTGGATTTATGCTGTATTTGAGCTGCATGAATTGAGCAGATTCTGTCTGGGTGTTGTAGAATGGTGTATAATCAGCATATATGTAATTTCTTGCCATGTTTTGAGTATTCACTGTGTTAATATCCTTGTAAGGCACAAACAACTGCAATCAGTTGATATTTCTAATGAAACACATTCTCTCAGAAGTAGCATTTCAGATGCTACTCTCTCACTGATGGTATTGTTTTCTGTGATGAAGAAAACTGACCCTTGAAGCATCAAAGATTATTACTGTTGTGATTTATCTGATAGCTTCCTGGAATAGCTGTCACTTGTTTTCCTGAGTCTCTACTATATAGTAACTCAGGTGTTTGCACATGATGGCATAATCTCTGACTAGAGATTAAGCTCCCAGGTTGCCTTCAAAACTCAGCCATTGGCAGCAGTTTTTTGTTAAAGAGTTCTCAGCCTAGATACAAGTATTCAGTATTGTTTCATTTATGTGACTTCAGTATCTTTTCCACATTCAGCTAAGTGAAGTTAAAGTCCTTTAATTAGTTCATTTTTAATCTAGCTGCTCTCTGTGTATGTAGATAGATAGATATTATATAGATATAAATATAAAAACAACATTTACAAAGCCACCTAACTTTCTTAATTTGTGTTTGGGATTTACGTAATGAAGTTCAGGACCAATACTGGACTTTTTTTTACCAAGTGAAACTGATTTTACTTGGTAGATGGGTGTCTAGGAAACCATGAAATGATGCACTGTTGTATGAAAGTTTTGTTAGCAGTGTGTTTGGAACCATAGGGCACTTGTTCAGAATGGAATTAAAACGTAGCAAATACAAAAGTGTGTTGTAAATAAAAAGTTTTTCTCAGCTTTGTGGCTCATACTACCTTTAAACAAGGGTGGCAGTTTGTTTGCTAAAATTCCGTGTCAAAAGAGCAAACTCCACTAGCAGGTATGAGGATCTCCTCATGTAGGAGCACTCATTTGTAATTTAGGTCAGAGGTGGAAGTAGCTGCAGGTATTTGTGTAGCTAATTCAGATGAAGTAGTAGAAATGTTCCCTTCAGCTTCTGTTTTCTCAAGTAAAATTTCATATTGGATTATTGAGTTTTAAGTCGATGATTGCTTGGGCAAAAATCAGCTTCAGTGGTGAAGGAATTTTAGTTTCAAAGTGAAATACAAAACATTTTTCACAGTGCTTTTTTTTTGTTTGGTTGGTTGATTGAGGGGGGGGGTGTTTTTTTGTTGGAGTTTTTTATCTGTTCATGAGGATACTTTGAATTCACCACAGGATTGGCTTCCATATTTTTGAGATCAGCATCTGGAAATAAGTGTAAAACCTCAAATAGCTAGATGTTGTGAAACAAGTCTGAAATGAATCCATTACTTTTTTTTTTTTTTTTTTGTAATCCCAGGCAATTCTTTTCTGCTGCCCAAATTAGCAGAGACAGATGCTGGTTTTTGCTTAAACAGTAAGTCAGTTAAGACTAAACTGAAAGTTCTAAGACTTTCTAGCACATCTATTAAATACAATGTAAAGATTAAATTTTATAAATTTAATATTTATCTATCTTTTGTTTTGGATAATATGAATTCTCTTTCCTTGCATGTTTCAGGCTGGTTTGTTCATTGATAAGGGTGTTAAAACAACTAACGCTAGTATGGATGATCCCAGAGAATATCTTTGTTTGGACAACAATGCAAGGTAAAGGATACTGCCTTTCAATTGAGTGGAAAGTGGCAAAGTTGTGAGGTTGCTCTTACATTCACTTGAGGAAAACATTTTAAACCAAATGTATTTATCTATAAGTAATAACCAAACAATAAGTCCATAGGTGTTTTTTTTTTCCCTCATTTGTTCATCTGTTTTGTGAACAAAAGACCATGATGTGCTTTAAAGGACCTGGCTCTTTCTTCTGAGCCCTTGTTCAGGCTAGTTTGCAGTCTCTTAGAAGACATCATTTTAACTGTGCTCTACTGTCACACTTGAAGTATTATCTGGTAAAAGTAAAGTCTTACTTTAAAATCTAGTCATCTGATTTATGACTGAGTTATAAATAATTGTTCAAAAACAGCTTAAAGAGCCAAGTAATACATCCCCTTGCCTTTCGTACTACTGAATGCTTCCTGCTGTATCTTCTAGACTTTTGAGGTCATAGCTCAGTGGTACAGTTTTACTGGAGGTTATTTGTAGAGGTAGTACAATCAACTATATGTTCTATAGTTTACAAAGTGAGGCAAAATAATGGAGGCAAGATTCCAGGTTTTACTGTGCTTGCCTAGTCTTGTCCTGAATTTCAAATAAAATAGCCTGGGATAGTAGTCAAATTACAATATTGAATAACTGTATTCATCAGTGTTTTGTTGTGACAACTAAGCATTGAGACTGGAAATAGGGTTCATAATAATACCCTTATTTCTGAATGACCTGTGTTTAGTATGAAGATAGTTAACTGATAGTTGCAGATGCAGACAGAAGAGTTCCCAGTTCTGGCAATGCTCAGTACTTCATTATTTGGGAATGAGCTCGCTCATTCAGAGTTTTGGCAAAAAACCCATATAACCCTTGTGGATTACCTCATTTACTTGTAACAGGTAGTCAAGGAATATGTGAGGGGCAAAATGACCTGTGAGAACCTGTTGTGTGCTGACAGGGTATCAGTACAGCATGTGAGGAATTCTGTGCGTGAGGCAAGGTTCGTGTTTCACAGTAGCCAAAGAAATAATGACTCGCGCTAACTACATGAGGCCACTAATCACTGTACATGGAAGCAAACTGGAGGTGTCTAAACATCAATGGAGAAGCCTGAGACTGTCAAACCAAACATTCTTCTGCTCTCCTCTTCCTCCTCTGGTGGTGGACAGGGCAAATCCAAATTAGAGGGTGATCAGGATACGGTGTATATATTTCAGGCTCTCTCAGCCCGATGTATATAGCACATGTAAAACAAACAGTAGTTTTATACTGAGTGAGTGGGTTTTTATCTGTCCCAGGTTTCGACCTCATCAAGATGCAGACCCTGAAAAGCCTCGAGTTGCAGCCCTGATTGACAGATTAATCTCCTTCAAAAACAATGACCATGGGGCCTGGGTCAGGGGAGGGGACATCCTCATTCAAAACTCTGGGTAGGTATCCAGAACCAAACAGCCACAGGCTGTTAAGTTTCCACTGAAACTTTGGTTATGAAAGTGCATTACAACATGGCTGTAAGAGGAGATTAATGCTTAACTTGAGGAACTTCCCAATATCTTGAACTGCTTTCATGCTATCCTGCTATAAATGCAAAAATTTTGTGTGATTAGATGAGAACCTGCCTTAAACAGTGAAAAGAAATTATGCAACAAAATGAGTTCTGAAAGTTGGTGGAGACAGTAAATTTATACTGAGCTATCTATGGTTTCTCATAGTTCTCATGCTCCTGCTTAAAATATGTAGAAAATGACTTGATTGTTTTTTAACAGCAGCATTTTTATAAGCGTTGTTAAGTGGGTGGTTGTTCTAGTTTCCGTTAGTAGAAAAATTCAGGCTTTCTTCATTATGTAGCAGAATGTACTATTGCAGTAGCTTGTTGCAGGAGAACTGGAAAACATGACTGAAGCTTTGAACTTTCTTTCAGATTTGCAGACAATGGAATAGGTTTAACATTTGCTAGGTGAGTACTCTGTTAATCACTTCTGTTTTTTTCTTGCCTAGAAGATGAGAAAATATGCATCCTTCTAAAAAAATTAACGGGTATACTTTTGTAAGGCTCTACTCTCATTTTTGGGCCTGGTTCTATTTCCACTGGTGCAGATGATATTATAAAAGCTGTAAACTGACAGAGCTGCTAATGCTTGCACCTGAATTCAACCTGTGCTTAGTTTACACCACAATTTCCTGCCTCTTCACCAGAAGGGTTATGTTTAAACACATATTTTTGGTGTTGTATGATTCCTTAGGCAGTTTTGATTTTCCTCCTTAACATTTGAAAGTGTGTAATGGAAAAGAAAGGGGAGATGAACATTTACCAGGCACAAAGTCGTCTTTATAATAAAAATGAATTGAGCAACTTAGGTCGTAAAGTGAAATTGCTGCCAGTTAGGTTATGACAAACTATTTATAGGATTGCAAAAGTGGGCTGTAAAAAAAAGAGTGCTGCACTATGGTGATAGAATATTTAATGCTCAGCTCTCTGCTGGCATTTCAGTTAGCATGTAATACTATTAATGATTAAGTTGTTCTGTGTGTTATAAATGAAGTCTGGACTGCTCTGCTTCAGGGGGACTGTTACAGAAGTAGGACTATGCTTTAATGTGCTCCTCTGCTGGAGAGTCTTGGCTAAAAGCTTATCTCTGATGTTGCTTTGATAGTGCTGGGAGCTTCCCAAATGATGAAGGTGCCAGCCAGGAGGTATCTGAGTCTCTGTTCATAGGCGAGAGCAAAAATTACGGTTTTCCAGGCGGCCAAAACAAGTATGCAGGAACGGGAGGAATAGACAGCAAGGCGCGCACTCTGCCCCGGAACCGGTGAGTACGTGGTGAGTGAAGGGAGTAGAAATGATACAAGGTACATTCGCTTTAATGAAACCTTAGTCTTAAACAACATTTGGACTTGGGAAAGAGAAGGAAAAAGCTTTTGAGTAAAAGAATTTCAAGGGTCAGTTTAGGACTAGAGACTACAGTTCCCAATTTGTGACCATGATCCTTTTCTTTTCTCTCTGTCTTGCTGTAATGCTTGTTTAACATAGTGCCAAGTCCTAGTGTTGCCACAGAATAAGTAAAAAAGGGTGAGGTAGGTCTGCACCACCCTGTGTTTTGTGCTGCTTAGCCATCTAAAGGGAATGAGGTATTCAGTCTAGCTGAGTACAGGCACAGAACAGTTGAGGTTGGAAGGGACCTTTTAGAGCTCATCTTGGCTGTTTCCCTTGCTCAAGAAGAGCCACCTAGGGCTGCTTGTCCAGGACCATGTTCAGGTGGCTTTAGAATATCTCCAAGGATAGAGACTCCGCAGCCTCCCTGGGTAACCTGTGCCTAGTTACCCTCACAGTGAAAAAGTTTCTCCTTACGTTCAGGAGGAACATCCAAGTGGTTTTCACCTTGTGTCCATTGCCTCTAGTCCTGTCACTAGGCACCATTAGAAAGAGCCTGGCTCCATCCTCTTTGCACCCTCTCTCCAGAGATTCTTACATGTTGATGAGATTCCCACCTGATCCTTCTCTGCTCCAGGCTGGAGAGTCTGGAGTATCCTCATGTTTGTTCCTAGGAGAGGTGCTCCAGTCACTTAGCCACCTTTGTGGCCATTCATTGGATTCTATCCAGCGGCTCCACATCTGTCCTGTACTTGAGACAAGTCTGGACTCGCCAGTACTGAAGAAATGAGAAAGATCAATTCCCTTGATCTGTTGGCAGCACTTTTCCCAGTGAAGCCCAGGACACCTCCTGCCTTTTCACTGGTACATAGGGTTTTTACTCCTTTAGGTGCAGGGCTTTGCACTTCCCCATGTTGAACTGCATGAGGTTCTCATCTGTCCATTTCTCTAGCCTGTTGAGGTCTGTCTGGATGGCAGCAAGACCTTCTGGTGTATCAGCTGCTACTTGCAGCTTTGTGGCCTCTACAGATTTGCTGAGTCTACACTCAGTGCCGTCACCCAGATTCTGAACAAGACTGAACCCAGTCTTGACCCCTGGGGTGCACCACTAGTTACTGGCCTCCAAGTAGACTTCATGCCACCAGCCTCTGGACCCAACTATTCAGGTAGCTTTCAGTCCACATCACTGTTCTCTCATCCAGCCCGTATTTCAAGATCTTATGGGAGACAGTGTCAAAGGCCTTACTGATGTTTAGGTAGACCATGTCCACTGATCTCCACTTAGCTACCAGGCCAGTCATTTCTTCACAGGAGTTTATCAGACTGGTCAAGCATGACTGCTCCTTGGTGAATCTGCACTGATGACTCCTGATGACTTCCTTGTCCTTCATATGCCTTGAAATAGTTTCCAGGATTAGCTGCTCCATCACCTTCCTAGGGACCATGCTGAGGCTTACAAGCCTGCTGTTCCCTGGTGTTCCTTCTTGAAGTTAGAAATGGCATTTGCTTTCCTCCAGTCTGTGGACACTCTTGACTCATTAGATAAGTGCAGAAACAAGATTTCCTTTACTAAGGTCTAACCTGGAAGTCATTCTCTTCACATTGCTTTCCTGATTCATCTGTGAATAAATGTATATTTGACAACGATTCAAGCTTATCATGGTTTTTTTACAGGATGCTATAAATATATGCTTGCATTAACAGGACATTTCCAATCAGGGGTTTTCAAATTTATGATGGCCCTATTCACCTTACCAAGTGCACATTCAAAAACTTTGTGCCAACTCCAGACAGATTTACCAGTGCAGTTGGATTCCTGATGAAAAATCTGTGGCAGATGACACCAAAAAACAACGTTTCTCTTGTGAAGTTTGGTCCAAATGTAAGTTTATTACAAATATTTATTTTATTTTTGCAGACAGGTTTATTTTCTTCTTGCTGTATTTAAAATAAACATCCAAGGTCCCTAGATCATCTTTTCCATTCATCCATACTCCAGAGTTTTTATTCTGGTTGGAAGTCATCCAAGGTGTATCCTTTGTCTTCCAAGCAAAAAATAATAGCAAGGGAGATGTAGGATATGTTGTAATAACAATCTCGTCCTTCCAGCTTTAGCATTAGCCATGAACATTTTCTTTAAGGTTTCGTATATACTTAGTAATGAATTTTCAGTTGCACATATTAACACTGTTCGGAAGCAAGAGCTGGCCTGAGCCTATTACTAAAACTCACAATAACCTGCTTTCAAGATTCCAATGTCCTGCTGTAAGGTTTTTAATCAGCTTTGTCAGATTCCTCTGTTTCTGCACGTGTGCAAGTGTTGTTCCCCAGGTAAAGCATGGACTAATAAACAAATATTTTTATTGTTGTTACCAGGTTTCTTTGAAAGCCTTCTTTGGAAAACCTGGTCCCTGGTTTGAAGAAGGAGATCTGGATGGTGACAAGAACTCAATATTCCATGATCTCGATGGTTCAGTGACTGACTACAAAGATACTTACGTGGGCAGAATGGATAATTACTTGATACAACACCCCAAATGCATTAATATTACAGAATGGAGTGGAGTGGTTTGCAGTGGGACCTATGCACAGGCTAGTACTCTTGTAGCTTTCTGCTTGGGGAAAATCCCAATATGAAACAAGTATGAACAACTTGTGGTGGCAGGGAGAATTGTAAGAACTACGTATTTACCTATCTTTGGATTTAAAAAAAAAGTTCTAAAATCTTTGATGTTTTAAAAATACTTTTATGCGTATTGCACTTCTCAGCTAGTTGTGTGTATCATGTTCCCCTTGGCATGCAATTGGGAGTACAGTATTAGGTGCCGCAAGGTAAAACCAAATGCGTATGTATGCCAGGAGTTCTACTTCCAGCCTTATCTGCTTTTTCTTCCACTGGAGTTCTGTCTATATTTTTTTCACAGAGTGGGTTTCAGGGGGTGCCTTTTTTTTTTTTTTTTACAGCTGTTGAATTCCACCTTGTGAATACAAATTTCAAATAGATTTGATTTCCCTTCTGGTTCCTGTTAATATGAGTTTGGCCAGTACCATAACTTACTCCACATTTTGGGGATTTTTTTCCTCTTCCTTCCCCTTTTCTGTCTGTAAAACAGGCAAAAACTACAATAGTTTTTCTAATAGGGCTCTTCTTCAGGAGATATTCGTGTGTTTTGTAATTTAGAAAATCAAATGCAGCATTTTGATTAATAATGACTGCTTATTCTTCAGTACTTCATTTCCTTTTGCACAGTGTCTGAATCTTTCCTGTGTCTTGTCATCCTCCTTAATATCATGTAGGTTTATGTCCAAACCTGGAATGGACAAAATCTTTCCATGAGTATTGTACGAGATGAGTACCCATCCAATCCAATGGTTCTTCGAGGTATTAATCAGAGAACTGCTGCCTTCCAACAATACCAGCCAGTAGTGATGCTCCAAAAGGGCTACACAATACATTGGAATGGAAAAGCTCCAAATGTCACCTATCTTTATCTCATTAACTTCAACAAGTATGTTTGCTTTCTTTCATGTCATTGGTCCGTGAGACAATAACTGAAGTAATATCCTCCAAAATTAGCATGCGTAAGAGTTTGCAGCTATCAGTAAGGCTGGATCTTTCGTTGGTATTTTTTCCATAATCACAACTACTAAAGTATGACAAGAATGACATTAAGCAATAGACCTGCATCTAACCTTGGACGTTTGTTTAGTGCAGGGTCTTTAAGGAAAATCCTTTGGAGAACAAAATGTGCAAATAGTGAATTTGAAGAGAACTGAAGTTGAATAATTCAGTATACTTGATTTTGTTGTCAGAAAAACTTACTGAATGTCTAAAATATGAAAGTGAACACATCTCAAGACTGACATTTAGTGAAACACTGTGTGTGGAGAGGGGAAAGAAAAACCTTCTGGTTGTCGGTTTGGGAGTGTGTTGTGTTTCTGTTACTTGTTTTTTAAGTGATCTGTTTAGTGAATGTCTAAACTGTTTGTACATTTTATTTTGTTCTGTGATTCATAGATTTTATTTTGTTTTCAGGAATGACTGGATTCGTGTTGGTCTTTGTTATCAACCAAATACAGAATTTACTATAGGATTGGAAACCTTCCAAAGACGGTCATCTGCCATGTCAAGCAAGCTGGAGCGCTACGTGCCTGTGTCTTCAATGGTGGAGCTCGAAAAGAATCGATCAGACAACAGATTTTACTTTGACAACAGTACTGGGTAATTCCTTGTAGCTAGACCCTCTTGGAAGATGTTGTTTAAAATTTCCGGTTTGATAGTGTTAAAAGCAGTTGCTGAGATAACCTGCATTAAGAGGAAAGCTGTTGTGAAGGGGCCCACAGCCTATTTGAGAGAATACTTTCTGTGACTTTCAATCTCCAAAATACAGTAATTCTCATTGAAATACGTTTCCAAGAGCATCACAGTTCCACAGATGTTTCCTACCCTATGCCTGGGGAAAATGTAGTATCCAGCATGCTGCAGAGCAATGTCTTTCAAGAAGTAATTTTTAAGTCGTCAAAGAAAATTTGTGCCTTCTTGTTAAACTGAAAATTCTGGAAATTTCATAGGAGATTTCTATTCCAAGAACATTTGAAGAATGTATTTCTGAAAATCCTGATCTGTTTTCAGCCTTTTCAAAGTACTTGAAAGCCCTAGTCTGTCTTTCAAAAGTACTTCTAACAGAGGCCACTGAGATCCTTCTGAGAGCTTTAAGATGTGGTCAACTTTGAGTACAATTACATTGTCCAGTACTGGTGGGTAAAGTAAATATCCAAGGAGTTATTGCTGGGTGTCTGTGAAGATCTGAGATTAGAAAAAAGGAAAAGTTTATGCTCTGCAGTTTATATTTGGTTGTCTGCAAGCCATTTATTTGAGGAGTGGCTGTTCTTTTCAAAGCATATGCACTCATTATGATGTCTCATTTAATTCTTGGGAATTTCAGATATGTCAGTAGAGACTTCCTAACTCTATTAAACTGTAAATATCTTGAAAAAAATTGAACAATGATGCAGAAGTTAATACTGTAGTTTATCTGCTTCTGAAAATCATGAACTATAGCTGTTAAAGTTTGACGTAAATGCCTATCTTTCCAGCAATTGATCTGTATTCTTTTTCCTTCTTTTGTGTAGATTACTCTTTTTATTTCTTCAAGCCAAATATGATAGGGTTGGTCACAGTTATTGCTCATCTCAGGGATGTGAAAGAATCAAGATTGTGACCAAAGATTCAGCAAAAAGGATCAGTAACTGCATGGCAGAAGCTTACCCAAAATACTATCAAGCACCAACTGTCATAAAGCAGATGCCAGTAAAAAATACTGTACCATGTACAAAATGTGGCACAACTCAGGTAAAATACAATAAGGAAAAAACTTCATGAACCTGTATAGTGGTGTTGGCTGTCTACTCGTTTTGAAGCAGAACTTTTCAGCACAGAATACTGCACCTGCCAGTTTGCAGTGGTCATCTTATTAACCTGCTGTGTGCTAGAAAGTGGGGAGTACCTTGTAGCACAAAGGTTTCAGGCTTTGTTCTTTGAAAAATGCTGCTTCCATCTTTCACTCCAAGAGCTACAGAGAAGGAACATAAGTAGATCTGATGTCTTCCACTACAGTATTGTCTGTACTCCATGTAGTATATCTTTGCTACCGAGATCTATATGCTGTTGGCGAACCTTCTACTTCTTTTTTGGATCTTTCCTTATTAGCATGAACTTGAAATTGCATTGTCTGTTCTAGCTATAAAAGCTGAGAGAAATACTGAAAGTAAGGAAGAAAATGCATTACGCTATACATTGTTTTATTTATTACCATTGATAGGACCATAAATAATGCTACTGACAAATGGATGTATTTGCTTGGGAGCATGGGAGGTCTGTTACAAATTGCCTGGCATGTTAAAATGTTGAAGACCCATGGATATGTGTACTTAATGTGTTTCGTTTCTTATCCAGATGGCATTCACCAGTGATCCTCATAAAACCTACCTCCTTGTGCAGATTAATTCATCTGGTAAAAAAGAGCTAAGCAGAGGTCAGCAAGCATTTATTTCTGTAAGTATTCTTGATAATTTTCTTCTATCTTTCTTTTTAGCAGTTTGCATTATGGCTCTACATAATGCTAACCTCAGTCCTCCGTGTGAATAAAAAGTATTGGCTCATAGCTCAGAAACCAAACAGTCAAAAAGTTGATGTTTTAACCTTAGAAAATGATGGTCCAAAACTCCATTTTGTATTCAAATCCTTTGCTGCTGGAGAGAAAAATGTACCAGTAAGGGAGAGTCTAAAATTGAAGATGCATGTTCAAATCTGCACGGATACACATTTATTCATGGCTACTTTTGAAGAAGGAAAAACACAAAGCAAAAAACCTATACAACCTGTTAGTTAAATCCATGTTGTTGTAATTGGTTTTGTGAGGACAAATTGGGTAGTTAATGGAATGAGTCTTTGCCAAACTCCTTCAAATAGCAATTAGTAAAGAATCCATAGATATTTATCTGTTTGTTCTGATGCATTCCAGATAAGCCTAGTGATGTGATGCTGTATAAAGAGTAGTTTACTTTGGCTTCTCTATTTGGATGCTGAAGGAGACTTGCACCTGACACTGAAACAGCTATTTGAAAAGTCTGAACAGTGATGCAGCAGTGAGACCTTACCACTCTCTCCAGCTGCCTGAAAGGAGGCTGTAGATAGGTGGGTGCTGGTCTCTTCTCACAAGTAACAAGCAATTGGACAAGAGGAAGTGACCTCAAATTGTACCAGGCAAGGTTTAGGTTGGAGATTAGGAGAGGTTCTTCACTGAAACAGTTGCCAAGCACTGGAACAGGATGCCCAGGGAGGTATTGAATCACCATCCCTGGACATGTTTAAAAGTCGTGTAGTGTAGGGACATGAGTTAGCAGTGAACTTGATAGGTTTAGGTTGGTTATTGGACTCGGTGATCTTGAAAGTCTTTTCCATGTTAAATGACACTATGATTCTAAATAGTAAAATTCCTGAGTTACCTAAACAACTAGCACATGAGCAGTGCAATCTTAGCAGCTATAAACTTCTGCAGGAGTATGTGCGCCATATACTAAACAGCAAGAGAGTTCCATGGGAAGAAACCCGGCTGGAACTGGGCTGCTGCAGAGACAGATTAACTGTACTATTGCTGAGAAGTCCAAGTGGTTCAGTATCTGAATTTTAGCTTTTTTAGTAGGAGCATTGGCCAAGGCAGGTAGCAAGTCACCCTGAAATGTATATCTCCTGGCAGAAGCCAAGGACTGAAGGCTCCCATGCAACTTTTGAAGTCTCACTGAAAGCCTTCCCGCAAGGGGGAAAATGAAGAGATGCTAGGGAAAAGCAAGTATTTCTGAGGAGATTAGTACATCACTGTATTTCAATTACATGTAGGTTAGCACTGAGTGCAGTAGAATCGCTGCTGGATTCACATTAACTTTAAGAAAGAAAGAAAGAAAATGTTTTCTCTTTCTCCTCCCATTCAGGTCAATGACACTATGTTTTCCATCAAGGATAATGGTGTACTTATTGTTGTAGTGGATGCCTGTGTTGGCACAGTGTCAGGAAAGAAATTATTCTCTGGAGTAGACGTTAAGCATGTAGATGGATATTTGAAATCTGGAATTCCACAGAGGTACGTATAATGACCATTTATTTCCAGTGTGTCCTGTAAGCTGTAGCTCTGCTCTCTAACAAGTATTTAAATAATGAGGTCTATACAGCAGCACTGAAAGTGAGCAGAACATGTACCTAAATCGAAGAAGAGGAGGAACACAGGAGAATTTTAACAGATAGTTTAGCCTTTGTTGAGAAAATGAAGCAACTTGGATTTTGAACACTAAAAATTTTCCATTTTTTTCTTTCACCTCAAAAAGGTTTTTTTCAACTAAACAATAAGGTCACCTAAGGACACTGAAAAAGAATTACGTGACAAGATATCATGTTGTTTCCTATCTAAGGAAAAAAACTGCTTATTGTTAAAGATCAAATGTTAGCATCAGAAAAATCAACATTCTAATATTCTAATTTTGAATCAATTTCTGAAGATTTTTTATACAAAACATTAAACTATATTTAAATAGCACTTTACAATGATTTTGAAGTTAAACGTAAAAGATATTTTAAAAAAATCGTAGGTGGGTGCTTTTCTAGTTACTGCCTTCAGAGAGAGTTTGTATATTTGTGTGTCATGCAATGACACCACATGGCCACTTGCCTCTTAAGCAAGTGGAGTGTGAGGCCAGCTGGCTGCAAAAGCATTTAGCAGAATATAAAGAAAAATTTCTAACAAGTGCTGTCTCTGTACCATTTCTGCTGCAGGTCTGTCGTTCTGCTGAGCACAAGAGGTGATGTAGCAGTGCCTGATTTATCAGAAGCCTTAATGTCTCTGGGGACAGCCAAACCACCTTATCTTCAGAGCAACGGTTGGTGGAAATTTTGCGTATTCCTTTGCCACCGCCTTGGTCTGTGTGTTTATGTTGGCATGGAGAGTTCGTCACAGGGTGTGTGAAAAGGATGCAGCTGGCGGAGGAGGGTTGTCAGTTTGCACTGGTGTGGGCTGCTGCATTTCAGCCCTGGTTGAGATGTGGGGGTGGGAGATGGAGCAGAAAACCCTTCCATTGCCTCAGAGGGTGTTCTGTGGGGCCTGTTGCAAGCAGAAAAGCAGATAGCAGTTCTTTGTGCCCGTGAATTATAGAAAAAGAGCCCCAGGCTTTTTTCCCAAAGCCTGTATTTTGTGCCTCACTCAATGAATTTATTTTTAAACAATCTCCTGTGTGAGGGTAGTGTTTCCTGTTCTAACAAAATTTGAAGGTAGCAGTGGGAAGCTGTGGGTGTTTTGAGGAACGATTGCCTTATAAGCCACATGGGGTAGCTCTCATCTGTTCAGAGTTCTGTCATCTCTTGTCTGAGGAAGCAGTTTTGTAAGTGTCCCGGTAGCTGTGCTGTCAACTGAAGATCTCAGAGTATTTAATGCTGAATATTGAAAAAGGAAATTGCAAATCGATATTTCCCTTGTGAGGTGCATGTGAAGAGGACAGTGGATTAATGCCCTGAATAAAGTGAGGGGAGAATTTCAGAGGAGCATGCTGTTCCCTTCCCAGCTGGTCCTCTGTTGTGCTTGGACAGGCTTTGGCTAGTTTGGTAACACTGAGCTGTTTTTGTCACAGGAAGCCTGGCCTTTCTGGGCTTCAGAGGAAACTTTAAGCCATCCTGGATTAAGTTGTTTACCAGTCCTGCTGGGCATGGGCTCATTCAGATAGAAAAGTATATCCCTTTACAACTGGAAGAGTATGGCTGTGCCAGAGCAATCAAAAGACGACGGGAAGACCTCGAGCTTCTGAAGAAGGCTACACGATCTCTTTGAAGACTAAGATGTACATAAAAGCTGGGGGAAAAAAAATGTGAACTAACTTATTTTTTAATTTATGGCATTTTAAACTATATTGTTATCAAAGTAAATCATGTTATTGTCTGACAGATGTTTGCCAGCATTGACCGCTTGAATGCCAATCTGTGCACCTTCTAGTTGTACAAAATATTAAAGAATTTATTAGTATTTGTATAAACAGGTTTCAGAGTTTTTGCAGATGTTTGTATTTACTGTAAACAATTTTCTTCTCATAATACTCCTTTTGTATGTAAAAGGGTGTTCTTAAAAGCCTTAAATTTTTGATAACAGGTGTTGGAGTGCCTCTTGGTTTACTTGAAAAATTAACATTAAAGTTTCCATAAACAGCTTGAATTGGTCATTATAACATACATTTTCCCTCCACTGTTTAGGTGTTTTCCTGAGGGTTTATTTATCAGTCACCTCTGTTACATTCTCAGTCTGTTTTCCAAGGTGTTAAAAACCAGTTTCCCCTATGCATGCAGCTGACTCGAGGGGGCTTAACTGCAGTAAAATTTTTGCTTTGCTGTATGAAAGATGGGGAGGGAGGATTGAAAGATCCAGACGAGGACTCTGTGAGAATTGTGTACTGTGCAATATCATTTAACAAGACCATCTGTTTACTATTCACCCTTAAATATACAGGTGCCTGTGAGAGTAAATAAACGGTCTGGGTGTTAAGGCTGCAGTCTTGGGTACAGATTGACTTCAGTTTTTTCTTTTAAAGCTTTTAGCCAGAAGGGCAAAGCTGACATGCTGTTATTCCCAGTTTGTTAAGAAACTAAGCTGCTCCCCTTGCAGTTTGTTGTTTTGTTGGGGTTTGTTCTTCCAAGGCTATCCTAGCTTTAACTTTTAAGTTGAACGGAAAGTGCTCACAGTTTGTTCAGGCATGTTAGGTCTCTTCCCTTAGCTTCAGTTCTTCTAATACATGCATGTTGCTAATTTCTAGTGATTTTATACTAAGTCAGTTTTATTTCTTTTGTTGTTGTTGCAGTTATTTGACCCTTTCTTCAAGTAGTGTGAAAATTATTTAAAAGAATTGAGACACAGCTGCCCTTTTTCAGGATCTTAGTCTTTGAAAGTAAATTTCAGAGACTGTAAAAATGCATTTCATAATAGGAAACAATAGGAGCCATAGAGCTAAAATGTAACCATAATTCTGATAAAACTGACATAGTTCCTTCCTCTTGTATATATTCTCGTTCATTCTAGCTGGTGAAATGTTATTTACTGTTCAGATGCTTTGTGCTTTGAATCCAAACTAGTGTGGCTGTTGGAAATGAACTATATGCCTGTCTTCTCCAAAGAAGTTGAAAAACTGGGGATTTTTTTTTTTTTTAGGCTTTAAAGGAGAGGAGGCACAGTTGCAGATCTATTGTTCTGTTCAGTTAAAATATGCTACCTCAGTGCTACAATTAAACTGCCTAGTCTGGTGTGGTTCCCTAAGTGAGAGGGGAGAGGAAAGGAGCACAACACAAGAGATGAAGTTAACACATAAATGACAGCTATTTTTATTGTAAAACCAAGCCAAATGGATGATTGTGTATTTTGCAGTTTTGATGCACAGTGCTTGTATAACGTTAAAAAGAAAAAAAAAGGTGTTTTGTTAGGGAGAGATGTGGTGAATCTTTAGCTATATTTGGTGTTATTAATGCAGAGCAAGGTGATTTAAATGCTCTGAGTGCAGTAGTGATAGTGTTTGGGGATTAAAATGGTTTAAGACTTCCTTTGTGCTGTTGGTCATGCATAGCTTAGAAATACCAATGAGGTAGTGACCTTCATGCTTGTGAAGTTGGCCATTATTTATGAGATTCTGCTGTTCTAAGCCATCTTGTGAAAATTGTACTTTGAAGTGTCAAGGGAATTCTGATGTAGGGCTTACTGATGGACAGTTGGACCTGATATCAAAGTGTTGTCTTTTGTGTAAATTTAAACACTTGATAAATAGCATAAATAAATTTTTACATCTGACGAGGCAGTAAAATCTTGTGTCTCTGTTCTTATATCAGTTAATTTTGTAATGTGTGTTGTGTGAACACTATGAACTATTTCATTGAAAACACCAATAGACCTGTGATATTTGTGGATGTATCCTGCTCTTCATTCAGTGACAAAGTGGGAATATGGGGAATGGTGACTGAAGTTAAGGGCCAGTCTCTGAAGTCTGTCATCCTAATATGATGAGCGGAGAGTCATTTCAGCTTGGTGGGAGCTGGTTGCAGTGTTGTAATCTACTTGGAGGCATCTGTAGCTGCCTGGTGGCAGAATGGAGAAGATGGAGCTGTTCTTGATGGTACCCACTGTCACGCAGGACAAGAGGCGATGGGCACACCTTGAAATGTGGGCAAGTCCACATAAACAGGAGAACTGTTAACAGAGTAGGTGGTCAGTCACTGGAACAGACTGCCAGAAGGGCTGCAGCATCTTCATCTGTGGAAGAGCTGCTGTAGTTGACCCTGCTTTGAGACACCGTGTCCTGGGCCATCTCCAGAAGTGACTGCCAGCCCAGGTGCTGCTGTGGTTGTGTGCTGTTAAAAATACTGATGTACCCAGCCTCTCTTCTCCAAGTGCACCAGCTGCCACTGCCTGCAAGGAGTCACCCATACACTTTTCACCTCATTCCTGGAGCTCGGTGAGATCTTAAAAATGAGGCATTTCTCTCCCAAACCCCCAAGAACTGCCTCTTCATAGTCAGACTTTGTAGATAAATAGATTTCCTCTCCTTACTCAAATGATACTGTTCTGCAGTAAGTTAAAAACTCACAGAACTAGAGAAAGAAAGGTGAGTTTAAAGCTCTAATGCAACACATTAGAACATTTTAAGGCACATCAGGGCTGATGTTCTTGTTCCACATGTGGGTTTTTTTTTCCATTTTATTTTGTAATTTTTTAGTGTTTTAAAAACAACAACAAAGGAACAGCAGAAGAATAAACAAACTACTTGAACCAGTGATCAGATTAAGTGTACTATCAATGAGGCACTCTGGCCAAAGGCACCACTGAAAATTCACTATAGGAGGGGGTGGGGACCCATGCCTAGAGAGCCAGGATAATGGCCGGGACATGTTTTAGGATAAGATAGAATTAATTCTATGTATTGTAAGACTGCAGCGACAGCTGAGGCCACAGATAGCTTCTGAACCAGGACACAAAATTATGTTTTCCCACTCAGGGCAAGTCCTGTGATTTCCTCTACTTCCCCTCAACTCCTTTTCACATTATGTAGGAAGGATACACATCTGAGGACAGTCACCTGGCTGTGAATAAAAAGCCCAGTCCAGCAAGTTTGAGGATAGCTGTATCTTATGGTGAAGTGGTCAGTGAAGGTCGAAAGGGTAGGTCCCAGCTATATTTGTGTGAGGTGATCCTGGTGGTGTCCTAGTGTCCAAACATCTAGAAGTGCTAAGAAAAGCAGTAACTTCCGAACTTCAAAAGTATTTATGTGAGCTTTTCCCAGTAATTACTTTTCCACCTCTTCTGCTCATACTTGTTCTAGCTTCTATGGGAAGGTTCCTTCCTTTCCTAGAGTACACAAGTGTATTTTAATTTTCTAATGCCTTTTTTTTTTTTTTCCTGTGTCTTGTGCTAGTTAAAATTCTGAAATAATATTCAGTATTGAAGCATGTAAGGCAAACTTTGGCTTGAAAGAATTTATGAGCTTTTTAATTATATGGTTTGAGAGTACTGTGATTTTGCATATTAAATTGTATTGAGAATTGTAACTTGCTAAAAACCAGAAATTTCTGTCTGGGCCATTGACTTGCATGGCTGGGAATGATGGGACTGGCAACTCATAGAAGTCCACCTTTTCTTGTTTATTTGATGAAACTCTGAAAAATAAATGGGTTTGGGATACAATAGGAACGATCTTGTGAGAAAGCAATCTGAGAATCTCCTGAGGTCTGCCTAGCCTTTCCTGATATGTCATCTGGTACCTGTTCTTGTGTCCTTCCCTTAACCCGTACCATAAAAAAATGCAGATAAATTTGTGCTTTTCTTGTAAGGTGTTGCATTTGGTGCGCTAGTGAGAAATTGGCTTGATCAGCTTACAGAGAAATTTCAAAGCAACCAGTCTGTATAAGCTTTGTCATTAAAGGCCAACTTTTTCTCTTTTTTGATTTCTATTGTATTTAAAAGTACAAAGCAGACTTAATTGCCATGCCTGGGAGGCAAATTCTTTGTTTCATCTTTGTCCAGGTTGAATGGGATGATAGCTAAATACCCTGACTTACAATTTTTTTTTTCTGAGAAAACACTCCTAGAACATGTGATGACTTGTCTTTATATTTTTTAAACAGAAAATAAAAATAAAGTGATATTTCAGAACTATTTGTGTGTGTGCAAGTTTAGAAGTAATAGTTTTTAATCAGAAGTGCTATAAACAGTTAGAAATACAACTCTTTCCTGTTCAACGTTTCCAGTACTATTTTCAACAAGATACCCTAGGATCAGTTCAGGGTGTGTTTTGTGTGACTCGTAGCTTTTAGGGATGGAACTCAGATTGTAATGTGTCATCTTTTTAATATCTGTGAGGCTCTTCAGCAGAAGATTGTTTACTCCATCTGCAGCATATGAAATATGATGTAATAAGTTTTCTTCCATCTCTGGTGCAGATGAGTGACAAGTGTTCTCAGTAACAGACAACACCAAAGTTATCTGTGGTCTCAGATTATTTCAATTTCTGGGAAGTGATTCTATGATGAGCATCACTCAGGGGTATATATTGCACATTTCTGCTTTTGAGTAGTTTTTTAATAGTGTAATATAAATATCCATAAGACAGCATGTTCTTGGTTAAATTTTGCTTTTTCATATTCCAATATTGGTATCAGATTTTTCTGTCCCGCAAAACAGTGAAATATGAAGTATTATAAGATACAATTGTACATGCTTCTATAATTCATCTACGTATAATTGCCATTGGGTTCTTCCTGCTAGCTAGCAGACCAATGTAAAGTAAGGCTCATATCAGGCTT